GCACTACAGCAAATCATCAGAGGTTAAATTACAGCATGAAGCATTTAGATGAAAGAGCAGAAGAGGAAAGGCAGGAGAAAGTTTATTCACTCTAAAATGGCTTACTTGGGAATGGGATAAAGCAGTGTTTCTTAAAACACACCAGAATTGCTTGCAGGGCTGCTTAAAACACAGACTGCTGCCCCCCACCCCCCGAATTTATAATTCAGTAGGTCTAGAGTAAGACCCTATAATCTGCATTTCTCACAAGTTTCCAGATGCTGATGCTGCTGGTCCAGGGGTCACTTTGCGATGACTGGTATAGACAAGCACAGTGGTTCTAAACCCTGGCTGTACTCTAGAATCACCTGGGATGAGTTTCTAAACTGTTGATGCTGGGGCCTCACATCTAAAGGTTCTGATATAAAAGAACTCCAGTGGAGGTCCCATAGTGTAGTTTTTGTGTTTTACTGTGCAGTCCCCGTTGAGAACCACTGGTGCTAAGGCTTCCTGGAAAAGCCAAGGGAGTTGCACTCTGTCCTGGGTTGCCAGATTTAATCATGTTTTTCTGCATGTCCTTTCCCAGAGGCAGGTGCATTGCAATGCACATAAAAACCCTCCTAACATCCTTTTCCCACCTGGAATGCATGCTCTGTTGGGGATGCTTTTAAAACACATCTCCACAAGACAGGAGTAAAACCGCCTGGAATCGGTTGATTTTTTTTTCTTTCAACAATGCTGCCCTCTTGTGTCCTTAAAGAGTAGAATTGTGTAAAAGCCCACTTCAGCCAGATCAGTATGGCAATTTCTTGCTACATAGCTAAACAACTTGGGGGATTTTTCTCTGATGTTAAAAAAAAAAAAAAAAAAAAAAAAAAAAAAAAAAAAATTATAATTTATTATGTTTAATTATTTTCATTAAAAATTTTAAAAATATTTATTTATTTTTGAGAAAGAGCACGAGCGGGGGAGTGTCAGTGAGGGAGACAGAATTTGAAGCAGGCTCCAGACTGTCAGCATAGAGTCTGACACAGGACTCGAACTCTCAGACCGCGAGATCATGACCTGAGCTGAAGTTGGACGCTTAACCAATCGAGCCACCCAGGTGCCCAACTTTAATTTTTCATCTGTGGCAACGTGAATCTCCAACTGCAGCCCCTGTTCTCTCACCAGTTTTGCCTGCATTCAGTGCTGCAGCCTCCTCCAAGGATAAGAACTTCCAAGAGTTCCTCATTCTGCCAGAGTCAGAAGCACAACAGATCTGGGAGGAGCCAGAAATTACCAGCAACTAAAATATTTGGGGCATTGTAAAGTCTTGCATAGGCTCATCCATACTCGGAACCACCTATGGTCACCTTGTCCTTCTCACACCTACCTCTTCTTCACTTGGTTGATAGCTTATTGGGAAGAAAATGCATTGGGAGCTCCCATGTCTTCCCACAATGAGTTTGACAAACCTTTTGGGGTTCCAACATCTGGAAGAAGTGTCCTCTGCTCCTCACGGGGACTTTGCCAGTCCTCCATCTGACCTTATCAAGTCTCTCTCTCCCTTCTGCCCCAGCCTCCAGCAGGGATCATCAACAATTCCCTTTTTATATCACTCCCAGTGGCAGACAGGCTTACTCTTACATCTCCCATCTTTACAACGAAATTCTCCTTTGACCCCAAGTACCCCTTCAGCTATTGAGCCATTTGTCTGTTTCATTCACTTCCAAACTTGAAAGAGTCCACTCAGGTTATGCCTAAAGCCTGTCTTCCCCACACACCTTTCTTCGATCTGCGCCAGCCTGGCCGTGGTCCCATCACACACCTGATACTGAAACGGTTCTTCCCGTGGCCTGCAAGGACCTCCCTGCTGTTTGGCCAAAGCCAGCAGGCACTGTTTTAGTGACCTCTGCTCTGAACGCTCAGAGTGTTCCACTCTGTGGGCACAGTTCCTTCTTGAGGCACTCTCTGCTCTTGATTCTGAAACGTCCCATGCCCTGGCTTCCTTCCTGCTCCTCTGGCAGCTGATAAACTGGAACCCTGCAGTGTCTTCTCTGACCCCTGGGCTGGCTAGTAGAACCTTTTCTGTTTTCTTGACAGACTCCCCTTATGTAGGCTCAACCACTTCTGGGAATTTAAATACAACTAATAGACTCGTCACTGATAAATGTATCTTCTCCAACCCAGGTTGCTGACCATGTGATTCATCCACTGATTTTTACCTGATATCTCCTCTTTAGGGTCTCACAGGCATCTCCATTTGTTGCACGTCCAAAGAGGTGTACACGTGGGGCACCTGAGTGGCTCAGTCAGTTGAGCGTCCGACTTGATTTTGGCTCAGGTCATGATCCCAGGGTTGTGGGATTGAGCCCCAGGTCAGGCCTAGAACTGAGCATGGAGCCTGCTTGGGATTCTCTCTCTCCCTCTGCCCCTCTTTCCCACTCACCCTCTCTCTCTCTCTTTAAAAAAAAAAAAAAAAAAAAGGAACTCTTAATTTTTCTCCCTAAACCTGTCGCCCCCTCAGTCTTCTTCATCCCTGTAAAGTGGCCAGATATCTGGAAGATCACCTTGATTCCTTCCTTTCCTCTTTTGCCACATTCAGTCCATACTCAGGTCTGGTGGATTCTACCTCTAATATATATTCTGAATCCATCCATGTTTTTGTCTGTACTACCACCACCCTCATCTCCTTTCTGGAATACTGCATTCCTTCCTAAAGATCTTCCTGCTTTCTGCAATCTCTCCCCCTCATCACTGATTCCCTATCGCAGAGGCAGAAATAGTGTTTGAAAATGTAAACTACATCCTCTCATTTCCTTACCTAGAGAGTGCTAACTTCCCACTAAACTTGGAATAATATACAAACAACATGGTTTGCCCCCTGCCCACTGTATCCTCTACCCTGTCGTCCTTCCTTCCTCAGCTCCTGCCACAATGGCTAGGTTGCTTTTTGCTAGAACTCACCAAGCTCTGTCCCTGCACACTGTTCCATCTGCCTAGAATGTTCTCTCTCTGTTCTTCACATGACTGGCCCCTTTTTTTATTCCTGACGCCTAAACATTCCTCCCTGGGGAGACCCTCCTTGACCTCATTCCTTATCTCGGCCCCCTATTTGTTTTCTTCATAGCACTTCACATTTTATAATTACTTACGTGTGTACGTCACCATTCTTACCCTCTCAACTCTAAACTCCCGAGTCCAGGAGCTCTGTATGTGTTTTGCTCCCAGATGAACCCGGCAACCAGCCCAGTCCCTGGCCAATAATTAGGTTTTTAATATGTGTATGGTGAATAAGTGAATGAAGGTAAAGGAAGTCACGACTGCCACTTCACCTTAACTGCTCTTGTCAAAGCCTCAGTAACGACGATGTGGCCAAACCATTAAACTGTCCTATGTTCATTTTACTGATTACAGAATTGAGATAGGGGAGTGTCTTGGGTTCAGTTTATTCCCTGTTAACCTCATCAGTGTTTACCGACATGATTGATTCACCACAATATCCCCAGCACCCTGCGCTGCAGACACTTACTAAATACTGCTGATGGAATGGACTCCTGAGCTCTGAATGAAACAGGATGTGAAAGGGAGGGGCCGGTGCAACCACGGAAGTGTCTAAGCAGGGCGAAAACTTCTGGGGAGAGATTTAAATAATGGCTTTCTGCTTCTAGAAATGTTCATCTGAGAGTCACTCATTTCCATTTGTATAATAAAAGGAAAAGGTTTCATATAGCTTTTTTGTATCTCATGTGCTTTATAAAGGGAGAGTGAACTTATAGCTTCAGTTGCTGGGTGATTACTGAGTTATTACCTGATATTTAGAAGCCTTTCTCCAAGAAAGAAAAATATTTTTCGTATAAGCCAAAGTCTACTTCTGTTGAGAAGACAATGGTGAGTAAAAAGCATTCCCATCTTCCAAACAAAGAAACCAAGGGTGATTTAAAAGCCAAACAAGCAAGAAAGCCAACTCTCTAATGCTGGCTGTCTCACTCCATATCCTGTCTCCTACCATTTGAGATATCAATTTGCTTGTGACAAATAAAATAAAAATACAGCCACTTCAACTCAACTTTGAGACAAGGATTTGAGTTTTCTGAAGGACACGTAACCTAGGGGTATTAGTAGGACACAGAGAAGTCTGAGGCCTGCAAACCCCTTGAAAATTGTCAAATTACCTGGCATCCTAGGTGTTTTGACCCGCTTTGTAAGAGAATTCTAGCCATGCCTTTGACTTTCCACGCCATTGAACTTGAGGTTCTCCATGGTCTCCGGTTTCGTATCACATCTGGCTGGTGCCAAGAAAATGAGCTCAACTCTAGCTCTCTGGGGATGGGATTCATTGTCCTGTTTAGGAAATGTGATGTCACGCTGAAAGAAGCTGATGAGCAAACTCAGTGGGGCCGCAAAGCAGGCCCTGGAGAATGCATTACATGGATGTCTTAGTTCAAAGTGGTCAAGGACAGGGTGTGCCATTGTGGGCTGGGAGCCACTGTGGCTCAGCTGTTTGTCCAGCATTTAATATGTTTATCTTTCCGCTAAACATACTGTTGTTGAGTCATCTCTATTAAACAGACACCCTGTGTTAGGCTCAGCTCTGCAAATCCAACACACAAAGACAGGCCTTCTATCCTCAATGACCTTACATTCTACAAAGTCCAGATAAATGTTTCCTCTTCTTATTTTGCTGAGCAAGGTACCCAGGTTTTGAGAAAGGTTAATCATACATTCTTTATTCAGGCCAGCAACCATGAAGTAATGAAAGTAAAGGAAGAACTTAAAGTGGTCATTAATTTCTTAATATCGTTTAGTGGTATTGCTGCAGACTGAAAATGCAAAACGGAATTACCCAAAACACCATCAGCCTCCAAACTATCAATGTCATATTAGACTATTATGTTGTCACCGATGTCGAAGTAATTCTATTAATAAAACAAATAGCTGCATTAAACTTCTAAGATTTGGGCAGGCCAGAACAAAACAAAGATCACATAACTCTGAGAAGTAAAGAAACTAATGAAATGCTGTTTGGGCTTCTATAGAAATTGTTCGCGCCATGACACACGTGATAAACCAAGGGATGGCAATGTACTGGGGGACCTCGAGGTGGAGTGCTATGGAGATCATGGTAATTTCATTTCTATTTTTAAATGGTCATTAAATGCCTTATTATTATTTTTCAGATACTATGTGTAAATTGCAAGACCTTTTGCAAACATTGCTAACAATCACCATGGCACTAGAATGCTGTGATCAATTCTGTCCTTACAGAGATGGGTACGGGGCTGGATCTCATCAGGTCGGAATACCACAGTAAAGGTGCAAGTCTCTAAACAAGAATCACATTCTATCATGTTCTTCAGTGGCAGGAGGATTCAATGAATTCCCCAGCTAATGAGATATATGAACAAAATAGTCTGGCTTCCTTTCTAAAACTGTGTTAAAGAACCTACCGTTTATAACATGCTAATGACATGTCATCTTTATATGTTAGTGTGAGTTATTTCTGTAGAAACTTAAATTATGGGTTTCCTCGTGCACTATTATGATTCACACTGACTTATTTGCCCTGGACTGAGTCCAGACCCTTCCAAAGAAGAAGGATTTCTTGCATTTGCTATTTCTCTTAGTGAGACTGATGGCCATAACTTCGCTTATTATTTGGCATCTTACATGTTTCTTGGTTGGTACTGATTTCACTAATACGAAGTTTCCTCATGCATACGGATCACAGAGCAGCCTTATTTCTCATCAGTATAAATTCAGCTGTAATCTTATTTCTCCCTAGGAAGCTTATTCTGTAGCAAGGCAGTTCAATATGATCCCACCGGTCTGTGAACAAGCTGAGTACCATCTTTTTCAGAGAGAGAAAGTGGAGGTTCAGCTACCAGAGCTCTACCATAAAATAGGTAATCTTCACAATCGAATTTACTGATTATTTTTAACAATAGAAGTATCAGTGATCTGGAAAAAAAGTGTTACTGAAATGCTTTTCTTAATGTTCCTAATTAACACAGAGATTGTGAGAACTGTCCATTTCAGAGACTATAAAGGAACCAAAAACCCCTAGAGGGTAGTCCGTAGGCTATTACTGATGAAATCTAATCAGTTGTAAATTGTGACTGGCATATAAACTGAACTTAGTAGGTGTTCCCAAAAATGCATATAGAAAGAAAGGCAGAAACAATGAATAAACTCATTTTTCCTAGGGTGCTTCTCTAGCCAAAGCATGCATCTTTGAGTAGAACTGCCTTTCCAAAAAAAAAAAACATTGTGGATATATACATCTGTATCTCCTACTCTGTGCCTGGAACTAAGTTAGACATGGGGAGTTCAAGAATGCCTGACAAGCCTAGCACTACATGTCTGTGTAGGCAGGTGTAATCATTTCAAGAAAGAAATATATATGTAACATGTACATAAGAATTTTGGCTATCAGAAAAACATGAATAAGCCACATGTTCGCACTTATTTATGAAAACATTGTCCAGAGATAACTTTCTTCCTTAAAAAAAAAAAAAAAAAAAAAAGAGGTTCCTAAAATATTGAGCAGGAAAAGTACTGGCTAAGGGGGTGGGGGGCAGGACGAATAAAAAATTCAACAGCAATAACAGTTACAATTGCTGGGACTTGCTGTCTGTCTACTCTTTGGTAGGCACTGGGCTTCTATGTACCAGGTGCTGTTTGGGTACTGAGGGGACCTGAGAAGCACTGAAGCATTCTCCTGTGCAAGTCGCAGTGTTTGAGTACAAAAAGAAAGTATTGATCCTGGATATCAGAAAATTATGAAATCAGGAAATATTTCAGGCTTGTTTGGCCTGAAAACAAGGCCCGCTCCCTATAACTGACTATATGTGTTCAACTGGTTTATAAAGCCAGTTAACTAACTCAGTCAGTTAAGCATCTGACTTTGGCTCAGGTCATGATCACACGGTTGGAGGATTCGAGTCTCGCATAGGGCTCTGTGCTGACAGCTCAGAGCCTGGAGCCTGTTTCAGATGCTGTGTCTCCCTCACTCTCTGCCCCTCCCTGCTCAGGCCCTCTCTCTCTCTCTCTCTCTCAAAAATAAACAAACATTAAAAGAAATTTTAAAACGAAGCATAACTTGTAAGTAACTAAAATGTTATGGAAAGACGTATACTGACTTATCTGACTAGCTGTGTCCCTATAACTAACCAAGTCCTGTTTAAATACTCCCACACTTTTGATCTCAGTTTGCACAAATAACATATTCAGTTTTCCTCTTCTGTAGGAGTTGGAGCAATGACGTGGTCTCCCCTTGCCTGTGGAATCATCTCAGGAAAATACGGAAATGGAGTGCCTGAAAGTTCTAGGGCTTCGCTGAAGGTATTTTCCTCCACTTTTAGAACACAAGTCTGGGGATGGAAATGAGGGAAGAATACTGAACTCAGCAGCTCTACAGCAGCCTGTGGCTTCCTGGCTCAGGCAAAGCAGGGCCCTTGGCTGGGCCACTGTCCTCAGGCGGGCTCCCCTGGGTCCCCGGGGGGTCTCTGCTCTGGGCCAGGAGTCAGTCAGGCGTTCAGAATCTGTCAGCACAGAAAATTCTCCTCTGGGGATTAGGCGGAAGTGCCCCAAGACCAGGTTGGATTTACAGGAACCAAATCCCTAGCTGTTATTCTTATGTTAAAGGATGCAGTTCACTCCTACTTTGAAGCTGATGAGATGTAAAATCCCTTTTCTTTATAAGAGAACCTATTTTTACTTTTCTTGACAAAACAATTGGGGCCAACCAATTATAGCTGATTATGGCCTGAGGTTTGGTTACCATCTTGTTTACCATGTGGGGCTGGGGAGGTGGGGGGGGGGGCGGGTAAGGAGGGAGGCTTTGGGAAGCAGAAACATAGCCAAGCAAGCATCTGACACTCAGGCTCAAGATTGGTGTTTTCACAGGGATCAACTGGCCACTGAGTCTTAACAGTTTAAATTCTTCTCTGAAGCATAAAGATATTCAACATCCTAGACATAAAATTACCTCCATTCAGAACATCTTGGTGATTAATTCACTGAAGAGTACTCCAAACATCCCTCATTATTATTATTATTATTATTTTTTAATGTGTCTGTTTTTAAAAACTTGAGACAATGTGTAATAACATTAGGATCACAAACGGTAATGTCTAGAGAGAGAGAATATAGGCATTTTTATTTTTTTGTTTGTTTCTATTTCTATTTTTTTTTTTTACAAATAGTTTATTGTCAAATTAGTTTCCACATAACACTCAGTGCTCATCCCCACAAGTGCCCTCCTCCATGCCCACCACCCTCCCCCCCACATCTATCAGTCCTCAGTTTTTGTCAGCATTCAAGAGTCTCTCATGGTTTGCCTCTCTCCCTTTCCCCCACCATTTCCCCCCTTCTTCTCCCGCATGGTCCTCCGTCAAGTTCCTCCTAATCCTCCTATACTTGCAAACATATGGTATTTGTCCTTCTCTGCCTGACTTATTTCGCTCAGCATAACACCCTCAAGGTCCATCCATGTTGCTACACATGGCCAGATTTCACTGTTTCTCATTGCCATGTAGTATTCCATGGTATAGATAAACCACATCTTCTTGATCCATTCATCTGTGGATGGACACTTAGGCTCTTTCCATGTTTTAGCTATTGTGGAGAGTGCTGCTATGAACATTGGGGTACATGTGCTCCTATGCCTCAGCATTTCTGTATCCCTTGGGTAAATTCCTAGCAGTGCTATTGCTGGGTCATAAGGGAGTTCTATTGTTAGTTTCCTGAGGAACCTCCACACTGTTTTCCAGAGGGGCTGTACCAGTTTACATTCCCACCAACAGTGTAGGAGGGTGCCCGTTTCTCCACATCCTCGCCAGCATCTAGAGTTCTCTGATTTGCTCATTTTAGCCACTCTGACTGGCGTGAGGTGGTATCTCAGTGTGGTTTTGATTTGTATTTCCCTGATGAGGAGGGATGCTGAGCATCGTTTCATGTGTCTGTTGGCCATCTGGATGTCCTCTTTGGAGAAGTGTCTGTTCATATCTTCTGCCCATTTCTTCACTGGGTTGTTTGTTTTTCGGGCATGTAGATTGGTGAGTTCCTTATAGATTCTGGATATTAACCCTTTATCCGATATGTCATTTGCAACTATCTTTTCCCATTCCGTTGGTTGAATATAGGCATTTTTAAAAGTGACACACCAAAGGACCCTAAGAGGAAGCAGAAGTCTTGACACTGCCTCTTGCCTCCAGTGAGCAGGGTGACGGCTCAAGTATGGCCCAAACCACCAACCCTGTAATCAACTGGCTGGGACCACTGTGTGCCTCGCTCGCTAATCAGAACAGTCTCGAGGCTCTACACGTCCCCCACTCTCTTTTCTACTTGTTACAGTTGACCTATTGGCTAGTTTGTTCTCTAAAATAATACAGTATAAATATCTCCTAAAGCATGATGACATGGCGGTTTCTAGCTTGGCATGATCACAGGATGTAATTATCCTAGAATATTAGGATATTAGAATATTAGAATATTAGGATATTGTGGTCTTGCTTCTGTAAACTGCAGATTGTTCTGAACCAAGTTTAAACAAGTTAGCAAGGAAAAACTAAAAACATCTTGGGGAAGGTATGAAACAAAAAAGGTGAGAAGTGAGTGAAGGAACGGAAGCACTGAAAAAGTGCGGATTTTACTGAGCACCTACTATGTGCCAAGCCTGGGGCTGTTTTTTTATTCATCTGTTTTATCCACAGAAACATAAATGGATATAGATGATTCTTGATCAGCTGTAGATAAGCATGTTGCCTTACATTCTTTCAGAGATGGTTTAAAAAGAACTCAAAAGTATTTCCTATATGCAGAGTATTTGTTCTGAGACGATAAGAGGATAAACCTTTTCAGATGTAGAAACTGAGCCAGCACAGAGGTCAGATAACAATCTAAGAGCATAAACTCATAATAGAGTTTATACTAGGGCCCAGGTCTCTTGGCTCTTGCTATATCTCCCCCTAACACCTTTTTGTTTCCCTACAAACCCAGGTTTTTAATGGAGGAAGAAGTAGCTACACTGTATTTGGAAGTGTATGATTGGTTGACCTCCATCATTATCTGGGAAAAGCTTACAAACAGCTAAAAAAAACAAAACAAAACAAAAAAACCACTAACAAAAGGAGAAATAAAATAAATAATTAAAAAAAGAGAGAGACGAAATACTTGAAGGTGGCTAAGTCCAAAAGCAACTCAGAAAAATATTTCTATTGTTGATTTTGATAAAGCCAACATCTATTGAAACATCCTTAACCATAAACATGAAAGGCTCTCAAGAGGTGAAAGGCATCTATCTGATCACAAAGCCACTTCTTTAGAGCTCCAGACTCTCAAGGCTTCCTAAATCATTAGTCTGAGTGTTTTCCATACTAATATATGTGCTAGAAAGGCCACTTGAATAGAGTTAACTAAAGTGTAAAAAAAAAAAAAAAGAAAAAAAAAAAAGCACTAGGCAAGTAGATAAATCAATTAGCAACTTTTACCTCCTCCCACTCCAAATAGAATGGCTGGCATTTTACATTAGCTATTGTAAGTTATACCCATAAAATAGACACTGATATTTCTTGCTGTCGTAACTATTGAATTTGTATTTGAAGATAAATGAACACAGTGTAAACAATACCTATTTAGGGGTCTTTTAGAAAGCAGTATCAATGGCATAACAGTGACTTCTAAATCTTTTGTCATCAGCTCTGTCTTCACTGCTGAGCTGTACACTACTACTTCTTCACATGTCTGTTAGGTATCTCCCATGGGCATTAGTCATGCTTAGTGGAATCTATTGTCACCCCCTAGAACTTGTTCTTCCTTCTTGGTTAACAGTGCTTCCACCCTCCAACTGGCAATCCCAGTCAGAAGCTAAGGATTGTGTCACACTGCCTCCTCTCCTCCCTCCCTCTTGTCCAGTGGGGCATCCCCTCCTTCAGGCCACATCCTGACTCTTGGCCCATCCCCTATACAGCCCTTGTTCAGACGGTCATTTCTTACCTAATTTGGAGCAGTAACCACTTGTCTGCACTCTCTGATTTTTTTTCCCTTTGGCCAACTACCCTTCACTGTGACCAATTATATTTCTAAAAGACTAATCTGGGGTGCCTGGGTGGCTAAGTCGGTTCAGCATTCAACTGCTGATTTTGATTCATGTCATGATCTCGCAGTTTGCGAGTCTGAGCCCCGCACTGCACTATTGGCGCAGAGCCTGCTTGGGTTTCTGTCTCCCCTCCTCTGCTTGCTCTCTACCTCTCTCTCAAAATAAGTAAAAATTTTTAAAAATTTAATAAAGATTCATTTCACCATATCATAGCTCTGCTGAAAATCTGTTACTCACTTCCCACTTAATGCCTATAGGTCAAAACCCAAACTCTACAGAAAAGCATTCAAGGAAGTACCCTTGGGATCTAAGTTGTGCTCACTCTTCTGCTGTCTCTCCCTGTATTAGTGTACTATTCACCCAAAACACACCGTACTCCGCTTCCTAGAAATGCCCTTCTTTTTCATTCTGCTGTGGAAGCCCTCCTCATCTCTAAAGACAAAGCTTGGTTGTTTTCACCTCTATGAAACCTGTCTTTCAAATTTTATAAAGCTGAATTAATTGCATCTTCCTCTATCATCCCATTAACACAGAGTCAGAATTCTCCAGTGGCAAGCAACTGAACTTAATTTAATCTAAGAAGGGGAACAGACAGACACTCACTGGGAAGGCTGGGCTGGGGACAGTCTCAGGGTTGACTCCATCCATAAACTTGTACAATGTCAGGCCTCTCCATCTCCTCCATTTCTCTCTGCATGTGGGCATCACCATCTTCTACTACAAATGGGTCCTCCCCATGAGGCCAGGGGCAGGAAAGCTGGTGTTTGCAGGTTTACATCCTTAAAGGTGTGTAACATGAGAGAATAGAGATCTATCTTTACCTGTCCAGGGAAGACTGGGTAAGGTGCTATGACCGGCTCACGTCATGCACCATTCATTGTTAGGGGCATTTTCCCTAAGGAGGCAGTACAAGCATGGCTTCTAAGGCAATCATGGAGGGAGGTGCCCCAACACAAAACACCTCTCAGGTTACTGGCCAGTGATTTGTGAATATCTCTGGGATAGAACCTGAAACTCAGGTAGCCTCACAGAGCCTGGCACATGGTAAGTACTCAATAAATGTTTGTTGAATGAGTGCAATGAGTCATAAGGGAAGATCAACAGAGTCTGCTCAGCAGACCAGGTATGTAGCTTTTAAATAGAAATTGTAAATAGAAATGAAAAGTGCAACAAAATTTATGGGCAGCTCTCTCCTGTTGCTGACAAAATGCCTTACAGAAAAATCATAAAGATAAGTACCCCTCTATCAAATGAAAATAGGAACATGCAAACTTAGGTGCAACATGGTGGAGGAAGAGAGGCAATTCCAACACTCTGGTGTTCACATTAAGAAACTAAGGGTATTGGGGTGCCTGGGTGGCTCAGTAAATTAAGCTCAGGTCATGATCTTACAGCTCGTGAATTCAAGTCCTGCGTCAGGTTCTGTGCTGACAGCTCAGAGCCTGGAGTCTGCTTTGGATTCTGTGTCTCCCTCTCTCTCTGCCCCTCCTGGACTTGTGCTCTCTCCTTCTCTCAAAAATAAACATTAAAGGGGCGCCTATGTGGCTCAGTCAGACGTCCGACTTCGGCTCAGGTCATGATCTCGCGGTCTGTGGGTTCGAGCCCCACGTTGGGCTCTGTGCTGACAGCTCAGAGCCTGGAGCCTGCTTCGGATTCTGAGTGTCCCTCTCTCTCTTCCCCTCCCTTCCTTGTGCGCGGACTCTCACTGCTTCTCAAAAATAAAAAAACATTAAAAAAATTAAATAAATAAACATTAAAAAAATTTTTTAAAGAAAAAAACTAAGAGTAGTGTACATCAGTGTAATTTCAAAAGAAAATATTTTAGCTTCAGTATTTTACCTAGAGATTTTGAGCTTAATATCAAAGATTTTGCTGCTCTTTTGAGCCAAAGATTTTGAACTTTAAATTACAGTAGTGAGTTATCTTGATGCTAAATTATTCTAGAAAAGGGCCAGCGATGACATGTGGCTGATTCTGTCCATGGCTTTACAGCTGCTGCCTGAGTTTCAATCCATTATTAACGAACAGCCAACTGGTGGCTTCTGGGCCAGCCCCACAGATTACTCCTACCCCCACCCCCCATCATTACCTGTAAAATGGTCACAGCATTGGGAGATGGCAAAGAAAGAGGCTTTAGGAAATTTTGGAGAATTTCGTGACTTATGTATAAAAGTAATAGCCCACTAATCTGCACAAAAAAGCTCATTTTTTTCTTTGACAAATATTTACTGAGTATCTACTCAGTGCTGGGCTATACTGAGGGCTGAGGATACGGGGAAGAAGGGTCAGTCTCCACCTTCAAGGGGTAACTTGGGCACTTGTTAGAGATGCAGGGAGGGGGGGTGGTGGTGGTGAATTATGAAACAGTGTGGAATCAATCCACAAGTATTGTGGAGTCACACAGGACTATCAGCAGAGTTGTGCTGGAGTAAGGAGAGGGTGTCTGTGCCGAATCCAAAACATTTGAAGAGATCTCTTTTTACCCTGTGGAGCCCTGGTTGCTCCAATTCCTCCCTCACAGAACCATCAGCCGAGCCTCTCCCCACTATGGCAAGCTCTGTGTCAGGACTGGAGATGCTGCGATGAACAGAAGGCCCATCTTTGCCTTCCATTCAGTTAGAAAGATGAACGTATAACCACATCACTGCAGCACTGGCGTAAGCAGTATAATAGGGCTGGAAGGAAAAACTCAACTTTTGATTCATAGATTACAGCCTAGTCAACAAACTGGGTTTATTATTGCACACAACCATCCCCACCGCCAATCTTCTTATAAAAAACACTGGTTCACTTCCATATTTATGTTTTAATTAAGCCTCATCTCCTCTCTATGCTCACATTTTCCCACTTGTAAAGCAGTTAAAGCTATTTATTTCCAAAAACACTGTTGTTTCCTTTATTGTGAGGGAAGCAGTATAAATACTATGCGTCTAGTTTTTAAAAATCCCAGCCTGCTTATGTTTTCCAGTGATTAAAGCAATGAGATTTATAGTGTTCTGAATGTAGGGAGACAGTGTCTCAATCAATGAGCCACTACTGATGTTTGCTACTTTTAGAAGGCTGCCTTTCGATATGCTGTTTATGTGCGGGTGTGTGCATGTGTGTAAATGCACACTTGTAATTCGATCCTAAGGGTACAAATGCATTCCACACGATAAAGATTTCAAAAATGGAGTTCCATATGTGATAATCATTCCTTACATGCGACATATACTGAAACCTCAAGAATGATCCTAGTTTATAATAAAAAAGCAATCATTTGGCTATTGGTTTTCAACCCTTCCCCCCCGCCTTTGAATTAACACTCAGATACTGGTCCCCTGAAAGATGTTATGAAACTAAAGGGAGGATTGGAAATGTCTCCCATTAAGGACAGCGTCAGTTCAGGGGCTCTCTGACCCAGCACGAGGCTCTGGCCAGGGAAGGCCCCTGGGCCCCTATGGGGATGCTCGTCTCCTCCCCATTGGCACCAGCTGTCCCCTCTGGAGAGCTGCCACAGGCCACCCTTCGTCCTGGAAGCAGCAGAGGTTTCCCAGAGCTGAGGCTCGGAGAACTCTTGGCCATCTCCCTAAGCAAACTCTGGAGTGAGGAGCCAGACCATAAGCCTCTGAGATCTAGGAAGCAAACAGAACTGGGGCAGCTTGCCCTTTCTCTTTTTTACATCTGCAAAATCATTCCAAAAATCATAATAAAACATAATGTGGTTACCCTTTTCTTTGGAAATACTGTCTTCCAGTGATGAAAAAAAAAACACTTAAAAAACAAAAGCAAGCAGCCTTACTGAAATCATGTGGATGGAGTGTCTGTGACCATTATTGCCTTTGGGAAGGTAAAGGTCTGTTGTGGCAATGATTTTGCAAACACGCGCAGCGGAGAAAGTCCACATTGCCACACAGGGGGGATGGTTTCTATTATTTTCACTAAGACAGACTAACACATTCTTACAAATATTCTTTACCTTTGGGTGTTGCTGCTTAGTGTTAGTTTTGTGTAGAACAGTCTGTTGTCTCTCATTTCTTAATAAGAGCAGAACCTTCTGGAAAGCAAGGCATTGAGAAGTTCTAAAAGATTTTTCTCCTCCTATTTGGGAAATTAGCTCACTTTTATAGGTTACGGATCCGTCAGTCTCTTCTCAGAGGTTTTAAAGGACAGTTTCCCATATTGAGATCCTTTTTAAGTTTCAATCACTATACAAAAGGTAATTCACATTTGGGATAGTCTTTATCCACTTTAAAATTTTAAAAATGTACTTGGTTCCTATCAGTTATACCTTGTCTGCTTCTAGGAAGATGAGAGAGCTTACAATAAAGCCCTGCTGTGAGAATAGAAGACTGGGAGTAAATAGAAGGCAAGAGGCAGAAAGATAGTTATAAGAGAATGTAAGATAATGGCTTTCTTTGCACAAAAAGGTTTGGCACCTGGCTTTCTTGACAAAAAGGTAACATAAGAGACCTTGGTGAAATGTCCATTTTTTTCCTACATTCTAAAATTGGGCTACTGCAATAAGAAACATTACTTCCTCCACTTAGTGGACTACATATAATTGATTACATGTCAGGATTTTAACAACTCGTGTGCATGTTGATGGATTTGAATGGTGACTATTAGTCAAAAATCAATCTATCCTGAACCAATAAACAAGGAGTGAGAGACCGTGGGGAACATTTCTTTGCCTAAAAGCATAGGCTTCCTTGTCACCATGAAACATAAAGGTTGGTGAAGAAGGTTCAGGAATCCATCATGGGGGCTCTCGTATTTTATGGACTTTAATAACCTTTGCCTCCAACCCTTCCCAGACATTAACCTTTAAATGCTCTTTGGCTCCCTAGTGCTACCAGTGGCTGAAGGAAAGAATTGTAAGTGAAGAAGGGCGAAAACAGCAGAACAAACTGAAAGACCTCTCCCCGATTGCTGAGCGCCTCGGGTGCACACTACCTCAGCTGGCTGTCGGTAAGAAAATGACCGAGGAGGAGAGGCTATGCTAGGTCACGAAAATACGGTTTTCACAGCCCTGTCGTGATAAAACATCCAGGGTAGGGGCAGACCAACATCGGAAGCATAGACTCCCAGTTAATACTATCTAAAATGAAGTTTTCAGAGTTCCCCAGAACTTTCTACATGCTACAAACACTTATTTCCTTCCTGTCCTGTATAACACAGTTCAAAGGAGAACAAGGCAGTGAACACACACATCCTCACGGTGTCAGAGGTGAGTGCCCCTCAATTGTTGAGGGACATCCATTTCTTCTGGCTCGGTTTTCCCTCCCTGTGGAAGCTGAGGGAGGGCTGGTGAGAGGCCAGAAGCAGGGCTGTGCCAGGGGCACAAGGCTACTGCCACAGGGAAACGTGTCCTAGAGGACCAACTTCACTCTGAAATTTCCTGAGGGGCCATGAAGAAAAGTCCTCTTATTAACACTGTGGAGCCGAAGATCACAGTCACTCACGCAGTTGAAACCCACATGTACCAGTGCTGTGCAATAGAAATATAACGTGAGCCACATACTTAAAATTTTCTAGGGAACATACTAAAAAATTAAAAAGGAAATAGGAGAACTTAATTTTAATAATGTATTTTATTCAACCCAATATAGCCAAAACATTATTTTCATAAAAAAGGTTGAGATATTTTACATTTTTTCATACGAAGTCTTCAAAATCTAGGATGTATTTTCTACCTACAGCACATCTCGATTCAGGCTGAATACCCCTCACATTGCCAAGAGCTGCCACATGTGGCTCCGAGGCTAGGTATTAAACAGAAAAGCCTGTAGACTTTCAGCTCCTTGCTCTACAGCAGCACTTTATATAAGCTCACTGTTGTGTCTCCTTAATCATCAAAACACTCCCATGAGGTGTATTGCTATCACTAGCCTTACCTTACAGATGTTAACAGCGTATCTGCTGTCATTATCTCCCCTTTACAAAAGAAACCGTAGGTGGAAAAAAAAATAATCCACAGAGTAGCTATGGGAAAAGAATAGAATGGGTGTAGGGTCTAGAAAAAAAAAATCCTCAAGATTAAGAAAGAGCAGGAATTGGGGCTAATCTGATACCGTGAAACAAGGAGATAAAAAGCTCAAGATAAGTTTTATGAAAACAAAATGACGTGATGGAGTATTTGTGATAGATGCATGATCTGTCTGGTTGGAAGGCAGGGAAAAATGGCTGCAATCAGAGGTAGAAATAGGTGGTGGTTGGGTTGAAGGAGGGGAATATAATTTACCTAAAATTATATACACAGGACTTGTTTTAATCCTTTTTAAAAAAACAAAAGTCAAAGAATGATAGATTTATTAGCATTCCTGTAACTTCAACAAGCACAGTTAAAAAGTATTAGCTGTTTGACCAGGAGCAAGTAATTTAACCTGCTATCAATTTTCTCATCTATAAAAGGGGTATAATAGATACCTTATAAATTTGTAGAGTAAAGCTAAGTTATATATATATAGCAAAGAGTAGGTGACCAGGAAGTGGTAACAATGATGATGCTATTTTTGCAAAGAATTAAGACACCCTGGACCTAAAACTCTGTCCATTCCTAGCCACGGCATGTGATCAAAGTGACAGGCACAGAAACATCTATTCTTCCAACATGGTCGTAAGTATGGTTCTAGGTGGTAGCGTGACAGGGAGTATTGAATTTAGCTCTGAAAGACAGAATATTGTCTTTCTAAACAGGAAATCTTTACCAGATTTAGACTTTCACTAGATGTTACACATGAAAGATGTTCTTTACAGTCTAAGTTAAAACATGCTCTGATTCTCCCTTTCCTCCCTCTGTGTCCCTAGATGTCTTTCTTCATAAACAAGTAGTTTTGCTTTTAAGCACAGAACTCTCAAACCAAGAGGGAAATTATTTCCAGGCATGTTGCCTTTGATCTGTCAGAGGCGTGTAGGGGAAGGGAATCCTTTGGCAAGAAACAAACTACTTGAACCCAGCCGTGGGCTGGCTCCCATGGCACCCACCTGCACAGGAGCCAGCTTTCACACCCTGATCATAGGCATTCTGAATAGGACTGCTAATGACACTTGGTTAGTTGTGGATTATCTTGAATCACCTGCACGTGTTACCCATCACACTGGCCAGCTCTACCCAGTGGGTCCTCCTATGTCCTACAGCTCATGAGGAAAACTGGCTGTTGCTGGCGTCAGGTAGTTTATGGGCAATAATCTTCCCAGTGCCCTGCTTTGACCTCAGAACTTCCTCTAGGACCAAAAGGAGGGCTGCTCCCAGTAATGGTATCACAAGCCCTCTCGGTGCTTCTGATGCATGCTGCAATGCAAGAGCTACTGGATTAAAGAAGAATTTAGGAGGAATAATCAACTAGATGCGGTAATTAAAAGGGGATGTGGGCTCAGAAAAGAACAGTTTCTAAGGATAACTCCCTGGTTTGGGGATTAGAAGCCCCAGTGGCCGGGAAGGCCACTAAATGAGGCTGGGAACACAAGAAAGACAGACTTAGTTAAGTAGCAAGGAGTGTGCAGTGCCTGGGGGACACCTAGCAGGATGTCCAGCAGACACTGCATCTAGGAGCCTCCAGAAACTTCTAGTTCCAGACCTCTATGAATGGAGACATCTACTGTAACCAGAGGTTCCTAGGGAACGTGAATTTCTGACACAGTTGAGAAGGAACCTGGGAGGCAAAGAAAGCGTCTGAGGGAGTCTAGTCTTTTAGAAGCTTATGGGAGGAAAGGGTGAGGCAGTAGCTAGTAAAGTATGAGGGGCCTGAGGAGGCTAACTTAGGATGGGACAAATTTGATAAAGAGGAAGAAAGTAATAAGAATATTCAGGAGAGAAAGGAACAAGAAGGAAACAATGTCTTAAGAAAGGGCAAAAGGAGTTGGATCCAGGGCAGACTAGACACCTCATCTGAAAACAGAGGACACAGATATGTGCTTGCACTTTTCTACATAGAGAAGGATGCCAGGTCATCTGCTGAGAGAGGGGCCAGGGCTAGATATGAGGGTTTAAGGGTGGAGGTTGCTAGAGACGCAGAGGAAGAGGTTGGAAATTGGTGAGAGTAAGCAGATAATCAACAAAGGTTGAATCTCAGGCTAGAGAAGTTTGACAGGTATATGGAAGCAAAGGAACAAGACACCCAGGGTCTACATAACAGATGAGGAAAACAACAGGAGTTAGATGTAAAGCCAGGAGACTGTGAGCGAAAATGGAAACAGAAATGCAGGTATCTGCCAGGAAGCAGGGTCTGTTGTTTTCAAGAGCAAAAATGTGTTGCTGGGGTGGACAGCTGGCTTGGATATCCCAATCGTTGGGGCCAGAACTCCTGTAGAAAGTGTACAAGCCCTAAGCCCTCAACTCAAATGCAGAGATTCTACTAAACCCTCTCCATGACAGGGGTTGCTGCTGAGGTCTCTAACCCTGGAAAGCACAGTCTGTCCTCCCCCAAAAGTAAGTTCTGGTTGCAACAACTGGAGTTACAGGTGGTGTTTATAAGCTAATCAATAAGCAGAAGTGCTCTGACATCCTGACCAAGTTTCTTTCTTCCCAGCATGGTGCCTGAGAAACGAGGGTGTGAGTTCCGTGCTCCTGGGATCATCCACTCCCGAACAACTCATTGAAAACCTCGGTGCCATTCAGGCAAGTACTACAGCCCTTTCCAGAAAACTCCAGGGAATACCATGGTCTTCTGAAGATGTCCCCAGGCCGTGTCCCATCTCTTTCCACCTCTGTCCTTTATTGTGTCACAGCTACCTGAAGTCCTCTAACAGAGGGAAAGGCCACCTGATCCTATTGGGGGGGGGGGGAGTAGAGAGGATAAGAGGGGACACAAAGGCTCAAGAAGCAACCGAACTTTTACTGTACATGGATCCAGGGTGTCCTCTTATGGACAGGCGATATTGTCAAAGCACATTCTTCAGGGTGGTTTGTGAGACGGTGCATTCCAAGACCCAAGCAATGTTACACTGGGTGACTGACCAAAAAAACCTGCTTAATAACCTGCCTAAAATTATTCATTAGTTCTTCCTACAAATATTTGCCAATCTACACTGTGCCAAGGCCCTCACCCCTTTCTGCTCCCATAGTACCCTGTATTCCTCCTCCCCACCACCGCATTTGTGATCATGTAGTAGGATTACCGGTCTCCCTGCTGGACTGTGAGCTCCTGGAATTCAGAGACTTTCTGGCAACTCCATCGATTTTCCAGTTCCGAGCATACTGTGTCCCTTAGTCAACAAATACCTGTTGAATGTTTCCCACAGTGTAAGAGGATATATGCTCAAAATTCTATTCTGGATTTCCAGGATCGCATCTTCCTAGCAGCAAATTCAGGACTAGCCTCCTTCCCTGGGGAAGAAGTGGACTAGATTGGGTAGGAGCCTGTAGTGGCAGCGAGAGGGAAAGGGGGAGAGAGATGTTCCTGGGGGTTCTGGCTGTGGAGAGGGAGAGGTTAATGGCTGCTGTGACCATCCCCTGCCCCAAAGGCCCTACCTCAGTCCTGAGCCTGCCCCCCTCTCAGCCCTGAGGGTCCTAAGGAGCATGCCCACTACTCTTGCCACAGCCAGCACCTGCCGAAACAGGCATGGTTGTCTATTTTCCTACTGCTCACTGGGGAACGGAAAGGTCTCCCCTGCCTGCCCGTTCCTCAAACAGGCCCCATTAACCCTTCCAAAAGGAAACATATGGAGGTGCAAACAAACTTGACTAAACTTACGCCGTTTTTTAAACCCTTTTGGCGAACAGTCCAAAATATGCTGGGCGATAAATGACCTCCCTCCCACCATCACTTTCTTAGGGCCTGTGCAGCTGCCCCTGCTTTGAAGAACACCTCCAGCCCCCCAACTCCTCCTGGAATTCTATGGGCTTCCATCCTATGTGGGGAATGGCCCCTCTTATGAAAGTTACCCCTACTTTACTTTCACTCATGTTCTGGGAAGAGATAAGCCTACACAATGACAAGGATGAAAAGAGGAACAGTCTGTACACAATTGAAATTCAATCCAATGATTTCAATTCCAAATTATTTAGTATGTATGGTATGTCTGGCACCATGCTCGGCAGAGAAGGTACTGAGGAAAGAACCAGTCTTTGCCCTCACGAGATCATGGGCTGGCTGAGAGTGAAGCAGAAATCTATACCTTAGTTCATTCAGATCTTTCAGAGCCTACTACTATGCACCAGGCACTGGAGACGCTATAACAAAGATACTGTCCAGGCTTTAAGGAGTTTACATTCCAGCAGGAGAAGCATGTAATAAACATGAAATAATTTCAAAATGTAAGGACTCTTCGGTAACTAAAGAGGATTCTATAATAGAGACTGAGAAATGGGCAGGCCTACTTTAGATAATGTTTGTGCCAAAGGGCCCTCTGGAATAGGTGTATCTGTAAGTCCAGAAGAGGAGAACACAGTATATGAAAAACCTATGCAAAAGCATTCCAGACACAGTGGAGAACAGTGCAAAGACCTGGGGGTCAGAAGGAACTTGGCTTTTTCCAGGAACTGCCAGCCTACGGCTAATGAGGCCAACAAGTAGTGAGCAAAAGGGACAGCGAATGCATTAAAGTGGAGTCAGGCAGGAGACGGATTTCACAGGACACTAAAAAAGGTTAGTTTTGTTGTACATGCAACAGATCCTTTGGAGTGTTTTAAGGACATGCTGTTATTTGAATTTTTAAAGACTGGCTGCTCTGTAGAAAGTGGAATGATGAAAGGCAAAGGAAGTTGTCCAGATGACAGGAGATGCTGGCTTGGATTATCTAGGATGGTGGCTATGGAGGTGAAGTGGATGGACTTCCCAGGCTTTGGACACAGACAAGACTTGCTGATGGCTCAGCCAGAGAAGGAAGGAGCTGAGATTCCTATCAGGGTAACAGTGACCACTGTCATCCCAGGGGGAGTTACCACTGCCTGCGAATGGTAAAAAGAAGTCACTCCTGGGCTGTGGGAGTACTCCAGGTAGCAGAAGATGTATTTCAGAGGAAAACTCCGGAGTCAGTCATCTTCTCAAAGCACTTCCTCCCTAGCAAGGCCCAGGCTGATAGCAAGATGGGGGGGGGGAAGGGAGGTTACCCCCGCTGGGAGGCTGCTACCTTGGAGGCTTTATCATCCCCTACCCCTTTCTGCTCCCACCTCTGGCCAGCCCAGCACCAAAACTTCCACCCTAGGGGAATTGTGACAGGGCGCCTGGGGTGGGATTGGCAGCAGGACAGGAAGTGTGCCGCGCCAAAAGTGGTTAAAGGAAATTTCGAATGGGCACGAGAAACCAGCTGCTCCTAGGGACGGAATGTGCCTACGGCCAGCATAAACTGGAGGGACATGTAAATCAGAGCCTCGACAAATGGGAGACCTGAGAGAAGGAACCACACCTGCAGGTAGGCCGCCATCCCCTGCGCAGGCCCCCATTCTCCCCACGTCCACCTAGAAGGTGGAGAGAAGCAATGCTCTCCCTTCCAAGGCTCCCCATCACCTACTCAGGCTTCCCAGCAGGCAGCCCCTTCACATCCAGGGCTCATCTCCCCGCACTGCTCTCCTTCCCTGGTAAGCCTCAATCCACCAATTATTCCAGTCAGCAGAGCAGCAAGGTTGCCAAACTGGTAGCCTGTGGGATGTTTGTGTAATCTGCAGTGGATGAAAATGTTTTACAACAGTTGCCAACATTAAAATATTGGGCAACTTCACATAAAATTCTGGATGTACGGCTTCTCTTAAAAACCTAAGTCTTACAATGCTATATATACATTTTTTCATGTTTTATTCAAGTACTTTTATGGTTTCTTTTTTTAATGTTTAAATCTCTATCTGAAATTTATTTTGGTGTAATGGAAGAATTTCTTTTTCCCCCTCACATGGCTAACCCATTATATTTTAGACAAAACTTCCCACAAATCTAGTTTCTAGATTTGGGTCTCTTTATTGTAGTCTCATTTGCAAGAACACACTAGTTTCAATTCTCTGAGGTTCCAAAGCTGGTGGGAAATGAAACTATCCCTTTAGCTTCAGACAGGAAAACGTTAACCAGAACTAGTTTCTTAGGCAGAGGAGCTCTACTACTCTGCCAAACCCTAAGGCTTTTGAGAAAAGCACTTGAGTGGAGACGAGGTCACCCCAGCCAGCATGATTGCAGCAGAGGAAGGGTGAGGCCGAAACCTCAGAACTGGCCATCGCGATTGTATTTTGCCACAGTCTCCACACAGGGTCAGTCTATTCCTATGAAAAAGTCTGCCTTTGTCCCTCGTCTTATGGTGTAATGTGTGCCCTTGGTCCCCCTGATGATAAACGCTGGCCTTGGGTGATCTCATCCTCTCCCAGGGCTTCAGTTGGCATGTCTACACAAATGACTCACAAACCCTCCACTCCAATCCTCCTGCCAGCACTAACCCACAGCTGCACGCAGCTGCCTAAGAGCCGTGCCTTTGTGGATCCTCCACAGGCACCTTAAACTCAACCTGCTACTTCAAACTTCTTGTACTCCAAACTACCGTGGCTCCCCATCTCCCTCAGCTGCACCTCTGTCCTTCTAGGCTTGAAATCATCATCCTCCAAAATGTCCTTCCAATCCACTGTCCTTTTCTACTTCACTGCCACTAATTCATGCTTTTATCATCTCTGGTTCCAACGCAAGAAATTTCTAACGTCTGCATTCCCTTTCAGTTTCCTTCAAACCACCTCCAGGTGCCTGACAAGGCCACTGCCAGCTCAGAAGTCCGCCAGGTCCCCACTGACAACAGAATAAGTCCCAACTCCAAAGACTGGCATTCGAGGCCTTCCGCGCTGTTCATCCCAATTTCCCCTTTCCATGATTTTACCATCACCACCCACTCTACACCTTCTTCACTCCATCTCACAGACTTCTCTGTTTTACAAGCCATTCCATCTAACGAGGGATGCCTGTTAACCCCTGGCCATCCCTCACCAGTTGTGACCACCAGTGGCAAAGAATCTTAGTCTTTAGACCTGTGCCATCCACAACCCTGTGCCACCCACAACCTTAGCCTCTAGCCGCATACGGCTTTTTAGTGCACGAAACCCCCTTGTCAGAATGCAGATGTACTCTAAGTGTTACAGGTATTGGATTTGAAAGACTTCGTACTTAAAAAACATACAGCATCTTCATTTTCTATAGCAGCTACATGTTGAAATGTTTTAGACAAAATGGGGTAAAAATATGAATTTCACATGTTTCTTTTCACATTTATGTGGGCATTAGAAAATCCAAAATCATGTGACTCATTGTATTTCTATGAGCCTTCATTTATACACTTTGCCTTTATTCAGTTAAGTAATACTGGGAAGCACTAACTATGAGCCAAGCACTCTTATCACAGGAGATTCAGTGGCGGAGACAAAAAAGGTCCCTGACCTCAAGGAGCCTACAGTCTGCTAGGGAGCTTACGTTCTAGTTGTGGTTTATAAATGCACGCAAGTCTAGACAACTTTGCTCAATATTAAGCACAAAGAACAAAATAATCAGGTACTAACCAACCATATCCTTTGTACTTCTCATGCTCTAGGTTCTCCCAAAGATGACATCACACGTGGTAAATGAGATCGATAACATATTGCGAAACAAGCCCTACAGCAAAAAGGACTATAGATCATAAAGCAGTGCATGAGCCACAGGACCCGCATGGTTACAACTGCAGTCTACACTGGTACAGAACGGTGTTACTAGCCAGTCTTTGGAGTCACTTAGCAGCCTGCTGCTCAACCTCTAGTATTCCTGGATTCTGAGGTATCTGCTGTCGCTACCACTGTGCACCTGAATAACGAGCACATCTGAAAACTCACAACCAAGAAAATCCATTCTATTTTCTTATCTTGGACTGGAGTCACCTACTCTTGCATTGCTCTGTACACCTCATGCTTATGCCATAGAAAGTATCTGAGGGGAAGACTTGCCTTCAGGCATTCGGTAACTTAAAGAAGGCTGTACAGATCTATTTTTTCAAATGAATAAAATCCACAGATGCAATATGGATTGCATCAGAAAGAGGAGGCTATGTTCACTCAGTAGTCTTACTCAGGAGAAGAAAACAATTTTCCTTTTTTTTTTTTTTTCTTTCTATCTTCACATTAAGGTTATCAAGGTTTGTCTCACTTGTCATTCAACAAAACTTAAATTCTTAAGTATCTGCTTCCATTACCTTTTAAAAATATTCACTGTTGCTCGGCCCCAAGAATGGCCCTGTATTGTAATTGACCCAAGGCGTCTCTATTAAGATTATATTAATGTTCTGTCCATTCACACCTAGAGACAGTGAAAGGATGAACACCCAATCTTTAACCTGAGACATGACGGCTAATTTATGAAAGGTAGGATTACACTGCTATGGAAGCTTAGCTTTGAATAAAATGTAACGTATCTGCAATTGAAGTGTTCACTTTTGACTACATTAAAACCTGCTTTACACTTCTGACTGCTTGTAGGCGCAGCTTCTGCAAGTTTAAATATTTGAGCTTTAAAAATAAATATACAAATGCTCAGTTTTTAAAGTAAACCTGTAAAATACCCACAAAGGCAAATGTTTGCTGTTTAATTAACGCTGGGATTTTACAATATGATGTTGGTGTTTGAGCAGTTAACATGAAAGTGAATCACAGACTTTTGTGAAAAATGCTATCACTATTCAGAATATGCTGGGTGAATTAACTTGCCTAGTGAAAAACACATGTTAAAGAATTTCCTCATTCTAGAACCACGTTATATGCACTAAACTAAATGCATGAAAGCTCTCTGCATGGATTAAAGGGGCCTCACCCTGTTGCACACAGAAGTGGAGGTCTAACCTTGCCATTACTGGTTACCTACCCTAATGAGTATGCCACTTGAGAAAAATTGTGAGACTATACCGTGTGTACCTGTAAAGAGGGAAAACTTTGGGGGTGGGATCCTAGCTCTCTATTTGGACACAGGAGCATGTACAAAATTCTAATTTTCTGGCTAGCCAGTACCCCGTATAGAAATCACTCTGACACTTAAAGATTATACTATCAGCTTAAAATGCTATTTTCTGTCACCATTTCCAAATACGTATTTCAGGATTAAGTTCTAAATCTTAAAGCATTAGTGTGAAACACCAATGAATTTTCTTTTTTGTTACTACTACCTGTATTCTAATAAGGAAACAGTTGGGTTTTTGCCCGGAGGTACCAGATTAATGATGGAAATGGATCATCCTTCAGTTGTTCATTGTGTATTCAATCCAGTGAACTACTGTATGCATAAATGAGCTGAAGATGTCTAATTGGAACTGCAATTTGACTTACTTGCTTAGAGTAATAAAAGTATTTTGTGCATTTAATCTCAATTAGTTTTTATCTGATCTTTCATTATAAGGGTGTGTGTGTGTGTGTGTGTGTAATCTCCACCTCCATAAGATAGGAAGAATCATCTGAATAAAAATTATGTTGGCAAGTAAGCAGCACTTGAACAGAAACAGCAGTGATTAAAAGATTTCAATAACAATCCAAAATTTTTCTTATTAATGAAGAAAATGATTAACTGCTAACAGTAACATCTCTTACTGGATTTTAGAAATACTCTGCACTAAAGCTAAAGCTTCTCAGAACCCATTTAAAAACACCTGCAATTAAAACCAAATACAAACGTTATTGCTTAGCCATTATTTTAACCGACAAATCACCTGCCATGGTAAATATACTAGATTAGAAATGTCAGTTAAATCCTTAAGAAAAATTTCCATGCACTCCGATATTCTTTTATGGAAAGAATGTTTTGCCAGAGAACATACCATTCTGAAGGGTAACCTGGGTAGCAGTCATCTGCATACTGCAATCTCAGCCAGAGGAAATGCAAACTAGATGCTATGTGCCTGGCTGTCCACTCTAGGAACTATCACTTCATCAATAGCGCACCATCTGTCAGCAGATGTCAGAGCCTCACTTCAGCCAGCTTCCAGGCCACAGCTCCTTGGCAAATGAAGAAACCAGACCTACAAGCCAAGTATTCGGGGTTCCAGTCCACCACTCTTTTAAGGATGAATTTTATGAAACACTCTGTAGGTAAATGTTTAAGTTAAAAAAGCTTGGGTAAGAATCCAAATTCAGAATCCATTAAAAGGAGGCAAAGGTCAGAGAAGAGATGCAATGAGCACTCATGAAAGCCAATGAGAAGTTAGTCTCTAACCACATCAATGAAAATCTAAACAAACCACTCAAAAAACCCTAATCTTCAATTAATTCCCCTGCCTGGGAGTCCAAAGAAGTAGAGATAATCCCCTAGAGCCCCAAGAGATAGACCTGTAGATTAGTTCTCTATATATACGTATAGGTCTATGCATCCTTTGTGTCTCCAGAAACAGCAGTGACCGGCACGCACACTGAAAATGCAGCAAGTGGGCGGGCAGGACAGCACAGCAGGCACATGCAGGCCGAGGCCCGCCACGCTGCTCTGTACCAGACCCACACCATGCCTGTCCCTGTCACGGACATTTAATTAGCATTTCAGGAACTACAAAAATGCACATTTACATGTGTGAGAAATCTACATAGTAATGTCGAATAATAAAGATGATATACTTATTCATGTGTTTCTCATAAGGACGCCTAGGGAAAATATAAACTTTAAAAAGCAAAGTTTAATCATACTCAACAAATAAGACCTTTCACAAGAATTCTGGGTATGAATCCAACCTCCATATTCTGGTTAACTTCAAACCTTGTACATTATTCTTTCCAATTTAAAATCATTTACCAAAAAGGACAACCAGCAGATTTTTACTGGCTAAGAATAATTTCTAGCTAAGATTTTTATTAAGTTGTAAATGAGAAACTAAAAACAGGAAAATGTAAAATGAGCCAACACATTAAGCCTCTACTTACCACAAGGAATGCAGGAGGCGGGGCTATTTAATCGATTTTAATTCCAATTACAGCAGAACGCTTTTTATTTTACTGGTATTGGATATGGGGTATTTTTAAAATACAAATTCTACAGCCGGTTTTTATGAACTAAACCAGATGCAACACATAATTCTATGTGCCACATAGCAATTTTAGGTATGAGGAAAAGTTTTATAATTCCCAAGAGTAAAGTACTTGTACAGTAAATTCTGAATGAAAACTGGCAATGTGAGTACATGCCTTACAAACTTATGCATAGAAATTTAACAGTACAGAAAGTTAGAAATCATCATCAGAACCAAAAAATACCGCAGGTAAAATTCAAGACAAAACCAAATTTTGCTTATATGCTTTTCTACAAATTATTCAGTTTGTGAATTCAGAACACATTCTATTAGGAATTTTAAGCTGATGCCCTTTTTCACCACCCCATCTCAGGTACATGGTATTTTAAGTGTGGTGGCAATTTCCCCCCTTCTACACAGATACTGCCATCTAGCGGCAATTCTTTACCAGCACTTAAAAAACAAAACAAAAACTTGGCCCAGCTCTGATAGTAGACCCTGATGGGTTTGTCGAATAAGCAAATGCATTTGGTACACAAACTCCATGCCACCAAACTACTGACCAGTTATTTATCTACCAAAAAAAAGGTTAACACAATAAGAAAAATCAACCTCACACGTCTTACACTACTTTGCAGTGACGCTCTTGTGACTTCCCTATTCATTCCATACTATCCAATGACAGCACATGGATAATAATGCACCAAAGAAAACTAAATTGCAGACTTCTAGAAGCAATGAGGAAATATAATCCTCAATGAAGACAACGACGATCTAAGTCACTAAGCAGATGTGCTCCTGCCCCCTGCCTCCTTCCCAAGTTCTTGGGTGTGGGCCTACCAAAACCATCCAGTTGCACACAACTCCAGATGAACACTTCTATGAAGTTATAAACAAAACAGAAAATATTTACAACATTTACCTTAAATTTAGAAATGGAAACTAAAGATTAAAGTTAAGGTTAGAAATTAAGATTAAAGGTAAGGTACAAAATTAGGAATAGGATTAGTTCTTCTGAAGTACTGTCTGTCTTTTAAAATTACTGAATGTGGTCAAAAGTTAACAGGAATATGAACCTGTATCACCGGTGATTCCATAACCTTTTAAGTAGTACAAGTTAAAATGCTTACCAAACTTTTTCCAATTATGGCACGTACTAGAAAAATGATAATTATCCCTACGCACGCTGGTTAAAAAGTGCAAGAGACTGCTCTTGGCTGGACCCATGGGCTGAAGAGGTTAATGTGAAGAGGTGCTGTTCAGAATCGATAAGAACCTGTGGACCAAAGGGTCAAATCTATCAAGGTCCCAACAGGAAAATGCCGACAAGCACTAAAACCACTACAATTCCTTGGAGAGTTCTTAGAATTCTGGAACTCAGACCATAAATGTTACTCTGGTCTTTTACACAGCAATAGTCAGGAGATTAGTTCTCTACTGAACATTCTAGTGGTGTGAGACTCCAGTCTCTTAACAGGTCAAACCAACATGGTAGTGTTGAGCTGACCTCCCTGGCCACCCAAGGCCAAAACTATACAACTGAACAGGAGGATATGCTTTAACCCCACAGGACAACTCTCATATGCCTGTCCACTATTTTTAGGTTATTACCTTGGCTGCCTTCCTTTTGTTAATAAAAAAAAAAAAAGAAAAAAAAAAAAAAGAAAGAAAGAAGAAAGGAAAAGAGAAAGAAAGAAAAACTTTTCTACCAGTTTCTCTTCCCCAAGTTGGAGATACCTCGTTTTTGAGTTATTTCAAATCACAAATTCAGAGACTTGTAAACATGAGGCTTCTGTTCAATCCCCAGGGGAAAGGATTCATTCTGATATTTACGGTTCAAAAAAAAGTTGTAACATTGTGGTTAGAACACAGAGAACCAGTTATGAACTTCTTGCTACTATTATAAATAACAGCTCAGTCCAGGTTACTGTGACCTCTGACAGATCAAGGAAACAAGCTATTTTCTCCTCTTGTGATTACAGCACACTGCATGACACTTTATACCTTTTAATAAATGTCCTGGTACTCTGAGTTTCCCTTTCAATTCCTTTAATTTCAACAATCTGTCAAAAAAGAGCCAATAAACAAATACTGAATTACATTTTGTTGGGTTTTTTCAAACCCTCAAACTGGAGACTATAAAAACATCTTGTGCGTCTCTCTCACCCTGACCACCCTGCTACTTTTCCATATACCACAGGCCACCCGTAGATACAAAGCCAGGGGGCAAAGCTGCCATGGTCTATTTGGAGCCAGTAGACAGCAGGGCGATGAGGCCTGATGAAGCACTTATGGACAAAATATAGTTCCTGTAAAAATTTAATGTTAAGGAAAAATTAAAAGCCCAGAAGCAATTCAACAAAAGGAGCCCATCTCTGTGCAATGCAGTTTCCCTCCTGACACTATAAAATGACAATGATGTGCAGTCCCATTGTCTGCAAATGCAATTTACTATAAAGACTATAAAGAATGAAAAGCATTCACAGGAAGTGCGTTTCAATTTTAAAAAGAAAACACCTGAGACAGAAACCTAGAACACATGATCACAAAGAAAAATCTGAATTCCATTTAACCTGAAGGAGAAGAGCGAATCAAAGAATATGAGCAGGAAGAAGAAACTTCTCCCTTTTCCCCTGAAGGGCAAAGGAAAAAGAAGCCTCCCCTGTCCAGCAGTGTTTTGGCTACAGTTGGCGTGTGAAAGCAAAGAGGCTGTGAAAGTTCAGAGCTCCTCTCACTCACAGAACTGGACTGTTCGGGGGAAAACCGCTCTAGTATTCCCAGAAGATTCAAGTTGGAAGTGTCTGCTGTTTTATTACATCAAAAACTCCACCTGCTGGGGCGCCTGGGTGGCTCAGTCGGTTAAGCATCGGACTCTTGGTCTCAGCTCAGGTCATGATCTCATGAGTTTGAGCTACTTAGTGGACTGATTCCCTGGGCAGTTTTTCTTTATAGTTAAATACTTGGACAAATCAAAACCAAAACGAAGTACTGCTTCTAGACTTCGGAAAATGCTAATCAACCTTTAAAAGGATACACGGTAGGGTTGAAGTTCTTCAATATAAAGAAGGAAGCAACAATGACCAAGACCAGGAATAGGGTGTTGTTATAGAAGATGGAAAATGTTGTAGCTTCATAATCGGCAACTTCATTCTTCTTCCACAAGATTCTGTAGACACACAAATCAATCACGTTTATAAATATGTATTAAAATATTTTAAATACCACATGGCTGTAGTTCACTATAATTAAGTTTTCCTTAAGTATTCTGAATAGAATGTGTTTTCAATATTTAATTTAATCAGCATTGTGCCCTTTTTTCCTGCTGAAAAAAGTATTTTACTCTACTAATGAAAATAGCTGCTGGGTATATTACTTTTTTTCCCAGGCAGTCAGGGCTTGGCAGGAAGGGGCAGATTAATTGCAACTAGCCTGGTTTCATCATCAGCCTAAAGAGAGATTCCTCTAGGTCCTCACCGAAAACAAACTCCATGATCAGTAGCCAAATGAAGCTTTCCTGGCTGTTTGCTGGCTTGAGATGCTCAACAGCCTCCAGATTTCAGCCTTCAATATTACAACTAGCTGTGGCTCAGAGAAGCAGACTTCTTTCCAACTGCCGTTAGCCATCTTTAGATAATTCAAACAAGTAATCTGTTTGATTAGGAGGTTTTTATTTAATCTATTTTATTATGTTTTATTAATTTACTAAAATTTTATCAATCTTTTTGTTTACCTCTTCACACAGGCAGGTGTGTGTAGGAAGCCTTTATTCCATTTGGTTAATTAACTTTGTAAAACAGTTTTTAAAAGGAGAGGTTGTGACTAGTGGGACATAAAATCAAATGGGTGGATTCAACACTCAGGGACAATGACTAAGTGGGTTCAGACCAGCATTAAAAAAAAAAATATGAAGTGTATCATCTACAGCAGAATAATTATTATTTTGTGAAACATTTGTGTATGTGCATGTTTGACTGTATTTGGTCAAAAGATAACGTATTTTACTGTCGATCATTATCAAAGAGGCTGAAAGCCATCACTACTGATGCTTTGTCCTCCCAAAAGATATTTACTATTCCAGGGCCAGATGATCCCCTCCACCAATCCTAAGGACAGAACTATGGCTAATGTCTCTGGCAACTGCTACATTTTATTCACCAAATGTTCTAATACAAAGTCAAGAAGCTGGACTGTAAAGGAGCTATATAAGCGAGACGATCTTCATCTCAAGAAGTTTGTGGTCTCAAACATAAATGCCACAGTTCCTCAATTCTATGGATAGAGTCAATTTAATATAACTTCTATTTAAGTTTGCGAGAAGTGAAAAATACTACATTAAATGCACAGCCATCAACTCTAATACAGCTCCTGATTTCAGAGTAGTTTACATGTAAATTTTAAAATATAGAGGACTTGAAATTGGGAGGGAATATATTATACCATTTTAACAATGAACAAAGAAAACACCATCTCAGAAAGATGCATAGTCCCAATCTAGTTTAATGCCAGAAAACACTCAGAACAATTGCCTCTGTTTTTAAGATTCTGGCACAAGACCCAGCAAAGACAGGTTCCTTAAATAGACTACTAGTATGCCTTTCGTATGATTGCTTAGATCACCCCACCTCCATCAGAGCACTTCTTCTCCCTACCTCCCTACCATGCCCTAAATCAGAACCATCTTCAAAACAGTTGGGATGAAGAAGTGACTCAATCCTTCAGGTTACCCCTGCTCCCGATATGACCAGGTGTCATAGCAGTGTACACGCGGGACTGTCCTGGACACACCTCAGAACTTTTATTTCCATCCGTAGCTTGGTTCAGTCTGAAAAAATGTGGTCATCAGCAATAGTTCTGCCAAAGCTTCACTGGTAAGAAATCTAGTTTGGGAGAGCATTCCCAAGAACTCATTTTTCCAAGGAGCATTTCCCACAAGAGGAAGACTGAGACCAAACTCAGGAAATGTCATAATCACATAATGCTAAATGACAGAACATTGCTCAGTCAAGAAGAAACACTCACACCCTGGGATAAATGTTAACGAATCTCTGATTCTCCTCAGCTCACCTCCAACCTTGAATGGATGGCAAAGCAGTTTCAAAGTGGCATGGAGTACAGGTTCCAAGTGATTGTAGATGGTAGCTCTGAGGCATACATATCTAGGCAAAGAGGTGCTAATAATAATAAGCCTTCTCCAGAATCTCTTGAAACAATTTACTTTTGAGGGAGAAAAATGCTAGCTCTCTTTTTTTTTTTGGAAAAACACTAGATCTTAGTGAGAGTCTTAGTCCCAGTTATCAGAGTCAATTTTGAGTAGAGACCTGGGTACAACTTTATCGAGTGTGGTTTTTGTGACAGGAATACTAACAGCACAAATTTCTACTGATGACAAGAACAGAAACTTTATAATCTTCTGACCCTGCATTGTATATATCCACAAAACCTGAAATATCTGATCCAGCCAATGGCAAAGATACTTCATTTCCACTTCCCCAACTCTCATTCACTCATAGTGACTACCTGAATACCATGCCGAGAAAAATTCAGAGACCCGTTCCAGGATCAAGAACAAGTGCCGGGCCAAATGAGACAAGTCTGCAGTGGGCAGAGGAGACCCATTTGTCATCTCTGATATAATTTATCACCTAAAACATACAGAGCTGTAACAAGCACTTGAAATTGAAATGATATGCGCTCCAATTTAAGAGCCACTTTCCTAATAAATACTATAATTCAGTAAAAAGATTTTTAGAAAGTGTCCTAGATTCTCTACTCTAATGCTATGCAAAAATTTGCAGTCAGAAAGCTATGCAGCCAGACTGAATTAAAGCTGCTTCCTGAAGGGGCGCCTGGGTGGCTTAGTCGGTTAAGCATCCGACTTTCGCTTACGTCATGATCTCGCAGTTCGTGGGTTCAAGCCCCGCGTCGGGCTCTGTGCTGACTGCCAGCACAGAGCCTGGAGCCTATTTCAGAGTCTGTGTCTCCCTCTCTCTCTGATCCTCCCCTGCTCATGCTGTCTCTCTCTCTCTCCTAGAAATAAATAAAAATATTAAAAAAAAAAAAAAAAAGCTGCTTCCTGAAAAATGTTGCCACTCCACTGCCACTATTTTAAATATTGTACCCTTCGGAGGGCATATGTGCTGGCTCAGTCGGTAGACTGTGCAATCCTTGATTTCAGGATTGTGAGTTCGAGCCCCATGCTGGGTGCAGAGATTACGTAAATAAATAAGATTAAAAATGCATATATATTGTACCCGTAAATTTTTATAAAGGATCCACAGGCAATAACCATTTCTATGTTTTAGTGGCTTTTCAAAACCACTGTAAAAGACATTGTTCTTTAAGTTACTGAGTGTCCCTTAAATAAGGACTGACTTGGTTAAATCCTTCCAAATTCAGTGTGAAGAAGTTTTTTTCAGAACGACTTACATGACGCTTCTCATCAGAAAATGCAAGTGAAGGACCTTGGACAATTCCCCTGACACTCAGAAGCTCAGAGCGAAGTTCAGTGCTCAACTGCTGTAACCAACTCCGAGGTCCTTGTTCATTGATCTTTCCTTACTTTTAAATGCTTTCTGTCTATGCACTTTCATATTCCAAGTCTCCACAAGGTCTTTCTGGAGCAAACTGGGTTAAAAACTCCATTTCACAAAGCACTTTGCAGATAATAAAACTTAAGATCTATGAAAAAACACCTCAACTCGTGACTGTAGTAAGCCCACGGAACAACTCTTAGGCACAAGTTTATTCAGTCATTCAGAGACTTCTGCTACTTGGCTATTAGACTAGTAAGCCTTCTAAGAGCAGCTGGCAGGAAAAATTGAGGGGTGAGGGCTAACAAACGGGGCACAGGTTTGGGCAACAGGAGACAAAACTGAGTTTTCTTTTTCCCAACCAATGCAGATAACCAAGAACTGGATGTCCCCAGGGAAGCTCAGGAACAGAAAGATCACCACCTAAAAATGCTAACACACAACACAATGTAAACTCTTCAGAGCCAGAGGGGTTAGGCGATATGCTCAAGGCCGCACAGCTCTCAAGTGCAGAGCCAACACGGGATGAGGTTCTGCAAGCTCCGAAGTTCTAGGAGGGCAGTTAGGAGTACAAGGTCTCAAGCCACACTGCCCGCGTTCTTGTTATGGATTAACCACACACTAATCCATGACCTTGAGCAAATTACCCAAGCTTTCGGTACCTGTTTCCTCAAATGTAAACTGGAAATAATAGCCCTACCTCACAGGGCTCTTTAAATGAGCTTTACAGAACACAAATAAAAGCATCTGGTGGTGGCAAAAACTCAAAATGTCAGTAAATGTCATTCCCATTATTACATCTTCTACAATATCAACGTTTAACCTCAGGCAATTATCCACATTCCATTCCACTCCATTATCCACATTCTGTAGGCAGAAACCAACACTTCTTTTCTACAAAGTATTCCCAGTTGTGAGTATCACCAACCTTTCATCCTTTTCCTTTCGAGACATCTTTCTGTTATCAGCTTCAGAAAGTTTTCGAGTCACTTCTTTGGAAACTGCATCCTCCCTCTTCTGTGCTACTCTAGAAAATAAAAGAAAAAATGTTTCCACATGCTCCAGAAATGAACAGCGCACTATCTGAAACACTCTGTACTCATATTTTATGTTCACAACTACATGATACTTACATTCCAAGAAATAATCTTAACAGAAAATTCCAAGTTTATTATAACAGCCAAAAAGAGAACTCAAGAACTTCTAAGATATAGTTTATTAGATATGTTTTGATTTCTGCTTAAAAGGGATTTTTCCTGAGCTCCCGGGTGGCTCAGTCAGTTGAGTGTCCGACTCATGATTTCCATCATGATCCCAGGGACATAGGATCGAGCCCTGCATAGGGCTGTGCACAGAGCAGGGCCTACTTAAGATTCTCTCTCTCCCCCCCTCCGCACCTCCCCTTGCTTGCATAATCTCTTGCTCTTAAAAAAAAGGGGGGGGATAATTTTCCAAAGTTTAGATATTAAAGGATAAGTACGTCAAATGCATTTAATTATAAATTATTGTAATTCTATTTTGTCTATTTGTTAAATTTATTTCTTCAATAAATTTGGTAAGGTATTAGCAAATGATATAGGATTTCAATTACAGTAAATAAAAGTAAACTAGACTTAAAAATACAGAGGGGAATTAAAACCTGCAACATATTAAAGTAATGCTTTTAACTCCATTCCAAAGAATAGTTTCACTAAAAATAATACCACGAGGGATTAACCATAGCACTTCTAATTAAATGAACAACTGGTTGTATCAAAAGATAATATAATATCAGCCAGAAAGGGCTAGAAGTGTTATTCAAAACATCAGATCAGGGGGTGCCTGGGTGGCTCAGTCAGTTGAATGATGGACTCCCGATTTCACCTCAGGTCATGACCTGGTTTTTAAGTTCAAGCCCCAATTAGGCTCTCCACTATCAGTGCAGAACCTGCTTGGGATTCTCTCTCTCTCTCTCTCTCTCTCTCTCTCTCTCTCTCTCCCCCCCCTCCCTCCCCACCTCCCCTGCTCACACTCCCGTGCGCTCTCTCACACTCTCTCTCTCTCTCTCTCTCTCTCTCTCTCTCTCTCTCTCGCAAAAAACATTAAAAGAAATTTTTTTTTAAAGATCAGGTCAGAATCTTCAGTGACAAATCAAATAAAATATTAAAATGCATATTCAATCAGAAAATCTTTCAGGTGAATTTTAGGAGATGTGACTGCTAGTGAAAGAGGATTAAAATTTAACCTATGATAAAATGCAAAAAGCCTGCCAAAGTTGATGACATTTAAATTCAACATGGTATATTTTTGAAAATATAGGCGACACTGGTTAGCCATAAATATACAATAACTGATATAAGCAAAATATACCACCAGTCCCACTACGAAAATGTTCAACATGATACTGAGATGTATTAAAAGCCACAGGATGTGGAACATAGAAATCTGTCCACCCCTATGTTCCATTAATGAATCCCTTGTTAATATGCTACGTTTAGTTCTGGTCAGTGTAACAAGGAAAGATGTGGAGAAATCAGGATGGATTCCTGAAAAGAAAGCCCAAGATCATTCAAGGCAATAGTTTTCAATTTTTCTTTAACCACAAGAGCTTCTGGGATACAAATTAAGCACAAATTCCCAAAGACCCAACTTCAGTTGATTCATTTTATTATGTAAAAGTTCTGCCCTTAAGGGCAGAGACTCTCATCTCTAAACCTCTCTAGCAGACCAGGCCCTCAATAAGTGTTTCTTGAACTTCACATAAGACCACTTTTCCTAAGGCCAGCTGATAAGAAATGTGGTTTACAGCAGAAACCTTCCCAAGAAAAAAAATACACACACGTACACGTACACACACACACACACACACACGCAAGCATGCACGCACACACCCCCATCAGGATGCTAGGACACAGGAATAAACTATCTGCAAAAGAGTTGGCTATCTCCAGGTATCTTCAGGGCAGATCATCTGTCCAGAGGACAAATCTTCCCAAAGAGACCAAACCAGATTAACTAGATCTAAAATTGTATACTCACCTAACAAACATATAACAACTTGTCAGAAGAAGCCCTATTCTCTTAGGGCTCTTAAAAAATAAATCTCACTCAGCACTGAATGCTCTAAAACAAAACAAGGGTCACCCCAGTGACCCAGCAATCAGCCAGCTGAGATGACCTGCAAAATCAACTGTTTTTCTTCTATTATTTCTACCTATTTTAGAATCTTTCCAGAATAAAAAAAGGAAAATACCAACTATTTAACTTCTTAAAGAAAAACATCTTTGCAAACATTTAAGTCATGCCACCTTAAACAAAAAAATTCCTACAGGCTCTCATCCTCAATCTGACAGTGCACAGAAACATTTGGTATGTGCTCAACACTATACCTAACATATTATCCATGTTACCATATTTAATCCTCACCATCTATGAGGTACCATTAGCACCCCCATTTTACAGCTCAGGAATCCAAGGCCTAAAGAAATGTGCGCTGAAGGCTATACATTTAAGAACAGCAGAACTGGGGGGCACCTGGGTGGCTCAGCTGGTTAAGCATCAGACTCTTGATTTCGGCTGTCAGGATCTTGCAGTTTGTGAGATCAAGCCCCGCGTGTGGCCTTACACTGGCAGCAAGGAACCTGCTTAGGATTCTATCTTTCCCTCTCTGCTCCTCTCTCTCAAATATAAAGAAATAAACTAAAACAACAACAACAAAACAAAACCCAAAAACAGCAGAACGGGGACCAGAATCCAGATCATCAACACATAAGCTATCTTTCCTCTTCTACAAACACCTATCTACCCATACTCTGCATCTTGCTGAGTCTTTGAATTTTAATGCACCTTGGAAATCTGTAGGAGTTTCAACTAAATCGAAACTACAATTAAAGAAAACAATTCCACTCTGAAAGAACCTATTAAATCAAGTCAATAGACACTGAAATTTTACTGAGCTAAAGGTACCATTATCTGTTATAAGGGACGCAAAAGACATGGCAGTGGCCCTCAAGAAGCCTAAAGCAGAAATGAGAAGGTAAAAAGAACAGAATTTTCATTCCAAAAAGGTTAATGAAAAATAATATCCAAAACAAGTCAAAAGATGTCAAGTTTCAAAGGGACTGAATTCCAAGAACATCACAAAAGATGGTCATACAGGGTGCCCAGATCTGAGGCCTTCGCTACCCACAGATGGCCACACCTCACAAGAAAGACAGCCCAGCACAGCGGGTCCAGGATGGGCTGAAACCTGAATGGTAGGTGAAGACGGCTGCCAAGCAGAAAGATAACAAAGATGATCATTCTGCTGGTTCTGAGCAGAAAGGCAGTCACACAAAGCTGAGCTCCTGCGGGTCCAGAACACCAGCAGAGCAGCTCTTGAAGCCACTTTCAGCCACTGAGGCCACTTCTGGGCTTCTTAAAATAAGTCCCTGTTAATTAAGATCATCTCAACATGTTTTTATTGCTTGTCACCCCAAGCCTAACACAGATACAACAAACTTAAGATTGATATTATGTGTGATCTTAAAAGAGGAAATAGGAGAATCTTTTACATTTTCACACACTTAGAAGAAAAAATGTAATTAGCATTAAAAAGGTCAGAGTTTAATTTAAAAACAAGACCATTTCTTTCATGTCCAAAAGTAGTACATGGAGAACCCAAAACTATTTTTTTTTTTAAATGTTTTATTTATTTCTGAGAGAGAGAGAGACAGCACGAGCAGGGGAGGGTCAGAGAGAGAGGGAGACACAGAATCTGAAACAGGCTCCAGGCTCTGAGCTGGCTGTCAGCACAGAGCCCGATGCGGGGCTGGAACCCAAAAAGCCGTGAGATCATGACCTGAGCCAAAGTCAGACACTTAACCAACTGAGCCACCCAGGCACCTCGAACCAAGAACTATTCTTTCCAGAAAAAATTCCACTTGGCTTCAAAATGTTAACTTACTTACTTGGTGGTTTGTTTTTCCGATGAACTTTATTTACATATTTTGAGAGAGAGAGAGAAAGAGGGTGCCCATGCATGAGGAAGGGGCAGAGAGAGGGAGAGAATCCCAAGCAGGCTCTGCTAAGCACAGAGCCTGATGTGGGTCTCAATCTCTCATGACAGCAAGATCACGACCTGAGCCTGTATTGAGTCAGACATTTAACCAATTGAGCCACCCAGCTGACCCTGTTTTTCTGATTAACCCCGTAATTAAGGCTAACCTTAATTAGCTTAAGGTTATGGTGCTTAACCATTCGAATTTCACCCTCAAAGGCTACTTAACAATGTCAGAAGCATAGTCTCTGCTTCACTTAGCTGTTAATTTTTTATAGCATTAATATGCCTCCCCCCTAAAATATACATATACATACATATACAACTCAAAGTGATACTTCTTTAAGACAAGACATACAAATGGTCTTTAAGACATCCTTCTATATAAGATTGCAACATGTAATATACACTTCAACTTGAGAAATATACTTACTTGTGCTTGAGAACAAATTTCACATTTTTGTAAGCAAAGGCTACCAAATAAGTGCTTACTAGGGTCATCACACTATAGAGAACGGCAGACTGAACAAGGTCCATATGCCATATTCGCCAATATAACCCTGAATTAAGACAGAAGGGAGGGGATGCAAAAAGGAACAAAACATTACCACCCAGTTACAAAGGCCTGCTCAATGAATTATAGCTAAGCCTATAAAATACAGTCCAGGTTAGGAAATACAATACACTGCACGTGGATCTTCAGGAGTGATAAAGTTACACTCTAAAACTTTCCCAGCTCAGAAAATTTGAAAAAGAGAAACTTCCCGTTACTAGTCCAAATGAAGTTTCTGCTTCTTATAAAATGAGAATAAACTCTGAAGAGAAAAAAAAAATCACAACCCACAGTTCACGTTCCATTCAGCTGGATAATGTTATTCGAAGTATACAGGCTGTTCCAAAACGCCACGTGCAGTCCCAAGCCAAAATTTACATGCTGACGTGGCTGTATGAAATCAAGGCAGTGCTCTGTGCCTCCAATGAGTCACCCTCGAATTTCACCCTCCACAACATGTTAAAGGCACGGTGGGATTTAAAGGACCGAAAGAAAATAAATCTCGATTTAACTGCCCAACAAACGTGCAAGCAGTAGGACAGACAGGAGATTCAAATCCGAAAACCCTGAGCTATAAAACCAACTTTGCCCAAGTCTGCAAAATTTTTTCATCCAAGTGAGAATTCTAGAATTGCCCTAATAGCATTAAAAAGTTTAAACTATTTAGAGCGTGGGCTCTTGGCATTGGTCCAATCTCTCTCACCAAATTAGGAAAACGATGTTCAGTGGTGCGCAGTGCTTCACCTAGAGCTACACTTCTAATTCAGTTCACAGGTTAATGGGAATCTGACTCTCGCCTAATTCATCACTCATCAGTTTTCCCAAAATTATTAACGATAAAGCTTTAAAGCTCGTAACGATCAACAACTGGGCGGGGGTCTGGGGGAGGAGGGCGGAGAACTGAGCGGGTTACAAACGCATGTAGTACAAAATCTTAACCCGGTAGTTTACAGATTAGGGGCCGCCATCGCAGAACTTAAAGAATCACAATCTCTGGGAGTGGGGCCACAAATGACTTTCCTGTGATGCCACCTGGCCCTGTCCCCGATGAGAACTATGAGGACCACAGAGCCTACATGCTTTCCCCGTGCCCGGGACGAGCCGGAGACAGCCGCGAGCTAAGTGCCCCAGCACTCCCTCCCTCCCTCCAGTCCGCCCGGCCCTGCCACGTCCCCGCCCAGCCCGGCCCGCCAGTTCCCGGCGCTCACAGATGGGGATAGCGGATACGATGAAGGCATTCCCAAAGAAGAGCGCGGAGGACTTGGCCGAGAGATTGCGGCTGAAATCCTGCAGGAGCAGGTCCTCCTCGGATTGCTGCTTGGAGCCGCCTTTAGGAGCCATGGTAGAGGGGAGCCGCGAGGCTAGAAGGGCAGCAGGCTGACGCCGCTGGCACCGCCTCCGCGGCCGCCGTATCCACTAAAGACCCGTCAGCGCTAAACGCGGAGGCGGGACTCTGTGCGGAGCGGGAGCAAGCTTCCCCAGGATTGGCCACCGCTATGCACGTTTCCCCGTGTGATTGGGCAAGTGGGCCAGACTTCCGGATTTCTGTCCAGCCCCTTGGCGAGCCAGCTTCCTGAAGAAGGACGGGATTTGTAGTTTAGTGGATGCTTTTTTTAGTGAACAAAACTTTTTTGACATTCCACTTCACTGGTGCCCTAACGCTTTCCACGTCCCTGAAATTCCAATATAGGAAATTATTCTGGCCTCGAGTCTTTCAGCCGGTCATTCAACAAACGTATATGTTAGTTATCTTCTGGGTGTACCCAGCACTGGGGCATTGGAGGAGGAAGAGGAGAAAGATAAGCATGGATAAACACATGTGAAGTCCTTTCTACTTTACAAATGCCCTTAAAATCCTATGACATGCGCATCATTGTCCCCATTTTGCAGGTGAAGAACCTGAGTGTGAGAGACTGACAATGGTAGTCACCAGAGAGTTAGTTCTTTTCAACAAAATAACACGCTACCTTTTCACAAAAAAGAAGGCATTGTGGCTCTCACTGATGAATATTTAACATGCGTCCAATACATTTACAAATTACTACATTTTAATTACTTTATTTCAGTTCAATCTTTAAAGTAATATGGCCTCCACAGCCATGCTAAATAAAACATAGTGATAAAGAACATGTTAGCTAGACAGGCCTCCTCTGAAGCTCAGAAAAAATGAATATGCCTGTTAAAACAGGTAGATACCATTTTTAACTCATTACATTATCACTTTTTCTTTAAAATATACTCAGCGACTTCATTCATAGAAAAAGCTTTTTCATCTACATTACTAACATCACACAGACTTCCCCAACCTTCAGCTTCCCTATCAATCGATAAGTAGATCTTTCATCTTAATTTTATCCAAACTGCAGTTGATCTCCACAGTTTCCATTCTAATGGAGCTCTCTGTCTGCAACTTTTCAGTCTCTTCTCTATAGACATACCCTAGTGAGTTTTCCTGAAATATAAATCTATATAAATGCCAGAAGTGTTCATCTAATGACTTTTTCAGAAAAAGTATTAATTTATCTTTATTTATTCATTAAAGTGAATTAAAAATATTTATTTAAAAATATCTGCATGGGGTGCCTAGGTGGCTCAATCCGTTAAGCATCTGACTTTGGCTGAGGTTTTCTACTGAAGTACATCACACCATTTTTCACCCATTTGCTTAAGCTAAAATGCTAGTTTTCACCACTAATTCCTTTCTTTCCCTCTCCATCTGGGATCAATTCATCAGCAAAACCTTTTACATCTGTCTCTATAACAAGATTTCATGTTGGCTTTTATTTTTTAAATGTTTGTTTATTTATTTTTATTCTCAAGTTAATTAACATACAGTGTAGTCTTGGCTTCAGGAATAGAATCCAGTGATTCATCACTTATGTAACTGCTCATCCCAACAAGTGCCCTCCTTAATGCCCATCACCCATTTTCCCCATCCCCCGCCCCCATCAACCCTCAGTTTCTTCTCTGTATTTAAGAGTCTCTTATGGTTTGCCTCCCTCTCAGTTTTTATCTTATTTTTCTTTCCCTCACCCTATGAACATCTGTTAAGTTTCTCAAATTCCACATATGACTGAAATCATATGGTCTCTATCTTTCTGACTGACTTACTTTACTTAGCATAATATCATCCAGTTCCGCCCACATTGTTACAAATAGCAAGATTTCATTCTTTTTCATTGCCCTGTAATATTCCACTGTGTATGTATGTCTATATAATACAAACATATATATGTATATATAGCACATGTGGTATATATATATATATATCACATCTTCTTAATCCATTCATCAGTTGATGAACATTTGGGCTCTTTCCATAATTTGGCTATTGTTGACAGTGATGCTATAAACGTTAGAGTGTTTATGCCCTTCAAATCAGCATAATGTTTATTTATTTTAGAGAGAGAGAGGGAGAGAGCACATGAGAGAGAGAGAGAGCGAGCTTGAGCAGGGGAAGGGCAGAGACAGAGAAGGAGACAATCCCAAGCAGGCTCCATGCTGTCAGTACAGAGGCTGACGTGGGGCTGAAACCCAGGAAACTTGAGATCATGACCCGAGCCCAAATCGAGCCCAAATCATGACCTGAGCTTAACTGACTGAGCCACCCAGGCACCCCCACCTTTTTTATTTTAAAGAGCATGGGGTGGGGGGGGAGAGGAAGGAAGGAAGAGTGGGAGGGAGGGAGCAGGAGGAATGGGGAGAGATGGGAAAGGGGGGAAGGGAGGGAGAGGGACAGTAGAGGGAGAGAATCTTAAGCAGGCTTTATATTCAGTGTGGAGCCCAAAATGGGGCTTGATCCCAGGATCACGAGATCACGACCTGAGCTAAAATCAAAAGTTGGACGTTTAAGTGACTGAGCCACCCAGGTGCCCCTTTTTTTGCTCTTTATAAACCAAGGCTATGAAAAGATTAAAGCTAAAATCAGAGAACTATAAGATCAAAAGGGACAAAAGTTATTAAGATATTTAAAGGAAAAATAGGAAGAAAACAAACAATGGTGAAATTAAAAAGAATTATAACTGAGAAAAATATTTAAGCAAAATAGGAAAATAAAAGTTTGAAATGTTAAGGAGATAAAAAAAATAAAAATAAACAAGAGAATCTAAAATAGTAGGAATTTAAATTTTTTATGGGGGAAGGTAAAGAAATATGTAAGCAAGATGAGGGGCGCCTGGGTGGCTTAGTCGGTTAAGCGTCCGACTTTCGCTTAGGTCATGATCTCGCGGTTCGTGGGTTCGAGCCCCGCGTCGGGCTCTGTGCTGACTGCCAGCTCAGAGCCTGGAGCCTGTTTCAGAGTCTGTGTCTCCCTCTCTCTCTGACCCTCCCCTGCTCACGCTGTCTCTCTCTCTCTCTCCTAGAAATAAATAAAACATTAAAAAAATTAAAAAAAAAAAGAAATATGTAAGCAAGATGCTTATGACAGACAAGGGATTTTTTAGTGATGGTAACAATGAAGACATGAAGATAGCACACTTGGAGTAGTGGAACAGTGTCTTCTACCAAATGCGATCTAGTTCCTTCTGAAGAACTGCAAAGTCTAAGGATCATCTATATGTGGCATATGTGACAATGGCACATTGGACAAGCAGAGTAACAGTATGCTAAAAAACAGAAGGAAGGGTAGGCAATAGATTCTACACAGAGATCTGCAATATATTTTGGCTATTTCAATATAAGTCAACTCTATGAGGGAATCAGATGGAATTGATTCCATACCACCTTGCTTCTAATCTGTGAATTTAGGCTTAACATTTCCATTACATTACTTCACACTTAGATTGGGGGGAAAAAAGAAGGGGGAATATAAAATAATATTTATTGATGGCAGGGACATGGATAACAAGTTTCTCTTGTCCACTACCAATGGCTTTCTGGAAGAAAATACAAGTTAAAAATTAATAGACTTTTGTTGTAACAGCCACTGCAAATTGCCTAGCCAGTAAGGAAAAGCACAGTTTTTCACTGGGACCTTATGAAAAATAACAGATGATTCATCATGGGCTACTTTGGGGTATGAGTGGAGGAGAGAAGGAAGCTCTCCATTATACAAAATCCATTTGAAATGCAAATCTCATTATGGAAATGATTTTTTGAAAGAAGAGATGATACACTTATTAGTTTCTAGGTATAATATTTTAAAGTCCCACCTGAGAGATAATTAACTCAGTCAAATTACATATTTCAGGCACTGGGATGTGATTAATTCATTGGTTCATCTATTCGTTCAGCAAAGAATTATTGAGAAGCTACTATATGAAAAGTAGTGTGCTAGAGCTTAGAAATAATCCAAATAACAATCATAATTATGATGATAAAAACCAGTGTTAATATGGTAAGCCTTTGTTATACATCCAGCTTTATGCTAGGCTCTTCATATGTTATCTAATTTAATTCTTACAGCAACACTATGAGAGATGCATTACTATTATCCCTATTTTTCAGATGAAGAAACAGAGGCACAGGTTGGTAAAGTAGCTGACCTAAGATCCCACAGCCAGTAATTGGTGGAGTCAAGTTATAAACTCCATGCAATAGGACGCCAGGATATATGCTGTTAACTACACAGGAGTTCTGGCCTCCTCTGTGTCAGTAGTATCTCAAGATGTTAAGTACCTGCCCCCCTGAAGCCCTGTTTTGAGCAAACATCCAAGGGTAGTTTCTTGTCTGCTAGTCACCACGAAGAGTCATGTCATACTGCAGCTCTGGCCAGCACATCTTTGCATCAATAGGATCATGCACCTAACACGGAGGCAAACCTCAATGAGCAAGCCTGGGCTTTCACAGTGGAGTCTGTCTCAAGGAGTGCAAAAATAAGATCTTGGAAAGAAACACAATTACTAGAGGAGTACAGAAACAAAGAAGAGATGGGAACTGTAAACCATAACTCACCATTAGAGAGATGCTCAAAGGGCCTTGAGGCTTTCTCATTTCCCACTGTAAGCCTGAGCAACACTACCATCACCTGCAATGAAGCAAAAGCACTCACTTCAGGGTCCCTGGGGGGCTCAGTCAGTTGAATGTCCAACTCCTGGTTTTGGCTCAGGTCACGATCTGAGGGTTGTGGGATGGTGCCCAGCATCAGGTTCCGCGTTGACAGCACAGAGCCTGATTGGGATTCTCTCTCTCCCTTTCTCTCTGCCCCTCCCCTGCACTCTGTCTCTGTCTCTCTCTCTCAAAACAAATAAACTTAAAAAAATAAAAATTAATTAAAACACTTCAAAAGTGAAGACAAATTAGAAATACAGTAAGATAAACAATATAAACATATTTTACATACAAATGAAAACAGATAACTGTATTCAGCATATGTATTGCCTCTTCCTCAAACTGTTCAAGGCAAAGGCAACAAGATCAAATGCGTACAAGATGCAGATAAGTAACCCTGACATAATAAAAT